AATAGATATTCATGAAAAAATAAATAATTCTTGAAAAAACATGAAATTTGCGATACTTTTTGAACAAACCTCGTATTCCCAGTATGATGAACTTCTACAAACCTAAGCCTGCCAAATTGTGGTGTGTAGAACGTTGCAAACTGCTGACCTCTCAGAAAAAAATATTTTGACTACGTCCGAAATCGAAAACATACAAAAACAAAAACACGGTTTTCTACGTCTTCCGTCAACGTTTTGCTAAAGCTTATCGCACCTACTCGATGAAAAACTAAACACAAGTATGTAATATAAACGCTACTAGTACCTAATTTCGTTCATGTCGCATGTCCCATTTAAAAATAAATTAACGCGTTGTTAAATATTTGAACGTCGGGTTCTATATAGATCTGCTATTACGATATTATGTAAGTTAAAACTTTGACCTCATTTACTCAGTATTTTAAGGAGGTAGAACTTAGGAATTATTTATATCGTTGTTTATCACTCATACTACGCGGTTCATATATACGTATACGTATTAACTTGTATTTATTGTAAGCACATATAACGTAGTGCAAGGCAAAAGTGTATTAGTTTTTAACTTTATAAGCAGATTCAGCGGTGGCAACTATCAAAAAAGGTCATATAAACATGTGTTACCGACACCTCCGCCTATGGTGGGGTAATGAATATTTGGTTTTAACGTCGCATGGAGGAGTGAGTATTGTTAATCCTTTTCATAGGTTTGTTTCATGTTGTGTGTATATATATGACTGAAAAGCAATGTTATCAGGTACTTTTTTGTCAAAAGTGCATTTTTAATGTATTGTTTCTTCAATCGTATAGCCCTAAAATCATATGTGAACATTCCACTTTTTCTCAAAAAATCTTTGCTTTCTTTGAAAACTCAATTGGCTGCAAAACAACGTTTAAAAAATCAGACATTTTTCGAATTCTGCTATAAAAGTGGAATTTTGACATACTATCTTAGAGCTGTAGAACTATTCACGATTAAGGAAAAAAATACGCAATAAAATGCACAGAAAACGCATTTTTTTTACAAAAAAAAATAACGTTTCTTAGTCATCTCTATACATACCATGAAATAATCAGATGAAAAGGATCTAGAATACTGCTCCAAATAGGCAGTCAAAAATAACCGGACAAGCCACCTTGAGATACTGATATTAATTTTTTTTGCAAAAACCAGCTACATACTGTTCTTTTTACTTGCCGACAAAACTTGGCCAACCTAAATGCCTTAAAAAAAATAATTCTGTATATGTTAGTGTAACATTTAATAATAAATATATTTGCGTGTACTAAAATTTATCTCAATTTCTCAACCTGTTTTTGGGAAAGGTCAGGTTAAATAATCAAAGACGGGCAAGTTTAATCAACACCATTTCCGAGCCTGTGGTTATATTATTGATATTTTAACGTGCTGAATCTGCTGTTTTATTGAGAACATTCTGTAACACCCTGTATTGTTTCTGATGGATGTACTTCTAAGTAAAAAAATCAGTCCAATACTATTCTACTAGAATGTTATGTTTTGAAAGCTCAATACTAACTCTCCATTGCACTGCATTTACAGTATACACGGAGCTTATCGTCTTTATGCTATTATCAAGTGCTACAAATACGTATACATTGTAATTTAATTATTAATTACTTATACTTGCACATATAACGTCTCGGTGATTATTAACACAGTTTGGTATTATCACCACTGGTTTGTTTTGCTAAATATTAAAAAAGATAAATTCGGTTGTTAAGTAATTTCTTGGAAGAGGTCATTATCCAGTGTCTATGTGGTATTAACAGATAAGCCGTCAGCAAGTTTATCTACATGAAAGGATGAATAGTTAAATAGTATTAACTTTATTTACACTATAAACTTATAAATATTAACTAACTTGTTATTCCTTGGGTGTTTCTTAAACGAAAAGTTTATATAAACATATGTCCGATAATGCTTTGTTTTCAAGATATCGAGTACCAAAATTTCACTTAAAAATCCCAATAACTCCTTAGATAGTATGGAAATACTATATATACCTCGTTTTGAGAAAGCCATTGGGTAATCGCTTACTTCTCAACCTAGGTATGTAATGTACTATATTCTATTCGACGTTCAACAAAGCGTTAGCATCTGCCAAATGTCATAGTTCTGGTTACTGAAAGTGTTTTGTGAAACCAGTCCCCACATATTGAACTTACGAATTTTCCGATAATACTTCTAAAAATATTCCATAAACAAACTCTTTTTATTTGCCTAGGTTGTCGACCTACCGAGAAATTTTACTCATATTCTCAGATTAGAAATCCTTGATTCAGAAAAATATTTCTTAAAACGGTACGCAAAATGTTTATTGATTTGACTATTATTTAATGATTGTGAGTGTTGGGAGCTCTTAATTATGCCTGGAAGGCGACCCTTGAACAAGTATATAAAATGTTTTTGTGTCTAATATGTTTTCGTAGAAATATTATCTAGTGAACCCATTTATTGCTACCTTGACCCAATTTATATCAGTTCAAACGTGATTTTTCAGAGGAAACAAAACGTTTTCATCAGAAGCGAATGTATATGTGTTTAGAAAATGTTGCTTATGTGCTCAGTATGCGATTACGTTTTTTATGATGGACAAAAACAACGACCTCACAAGAAGTGACCTAAGCTTGAGACAAATTCAGACACGAATTTTGGTACTTGCAAAGAAACTTTACCCTCGATGCTTAAAAATGTCCAGAATACAGAAAATTTCGCATAACCGGGTATAATGCGGGTGCCACACAATGCTTCCAATGTTGTATATCGACACCCCACAAGTGACAAGTGTGTCTCTTACACGATGGGATGAACTTTTTAGTCTCGGACGTGGTGGTGTCAACGTCTATTATCGATGTCAGTGTCGCGCTTGTCCTGTCTTCAGCGACCAAAAGTTTGTCATAAGCCTCAGAAATGTCGGAAAACGAAGTTGGATCGTTTTTGGTTTGTTTTTTGACGATAACTCCGCCGCCCCTGTACCGATTTTCAAAAACTGCAGAGCTTTTTCATCATTTTGATAGTAGTAACCTTGGCTCAAAATTTATTCAAAATCCTGATAGTACTTTACTTACTTAGTTATCATTTATTTAATCTTTTTCGTTAGTTATGAAATGCAAGTCAATATATTTCTCAACTAGTCTTGCATTGCAACATTATAATGAAACAACTGTAAGCACTTGATAATTTATAATTTACTAAAATATATATACTAAGGCCAGCCATAACTCACCTGCGAAAAATACAAAATATTATCAATGTGAAAAAAGAGTTATGGCAGCCTATGTTTTGTATGTATACTAATTTAATTCATTCTCCTCAAAAGTTAGTTACACCACAATCACTGCAAACAAGTGAATTATGTTTTTCGTCGCTACTGGTTCTAATCTAAAACCTCTAAACACATGGCATCTCGTGTGGGAGAGTAACAAACCATGCTTCCAACGTTGTAACGTTTTTTGACGCGGTCAAATTTACTGACAAGAGCCCGAACGTGTCCAACGTTGTAACGTATTCGCCACATCGTGTGGGAGCGGTTTAAAGGTATAATGAGGTATCAAGGGGTGGAATCTTGGACACATCGACAACCTTGTCCTATGTATTGAGATCTACAATATACTACATTAAAAAATAGCCAACAGTCATTCCTCTTAAGGTTTCTGTGAGGTCTTTTAATAGGTATAACTTTTCGGCAATACGTCTGAACCTACCAAATTTTAGCTAATCAGCTTCAAGAAAAAACGAAAAGAAGTTTCTTGATGCAAGAAATAGCACATATTTTAACGCTTCATTTATTTCATCCCAGAAATCCCAAAATTAAGACTAGGAAGAAAATAAAACTATCTTGACGAAGGATAACCAGACTGGCCGATCATCTCTTGGAGTCTGATACTTTATTAACACCCTAAATTCATATTTTCCTGTATTCCCGTATTCGAAAGGTCATTTTATGTAAGCCTGAGAAAACTTTACCGTAAATAATCCACAATGCTCGTCAAACAAGAAAAAAATCTATAAAGTAGGTGGGTCCGCGGAAATGTGTTAGGACTCTGAAACACGTGCCTATGATCACGTTGCGAGCACTCATGTTAATAAAACGAATACTGGAAACTGTTTGAAAGTTAAATGATCCTATTAATATAGATCAGTGTTACATGCATATACATACATTTATGGAATGTAAGGTTATTGAATCCTTGTTCTACAGAACGAATATAAGCTGTTCAGTTTTGACAATACATCATTTTTCCGGATTATGCATGACACACTTAAGTAAGGAAATGATAAGTAATAACAGAAAATCGAGACAATGAAAGCCCTACAAGACTAATTACTTTAACATGCGTGTTAAACTCTTAAGCGGTTATGAACGATCTTTCGAAGTTAACAGGTGTGTTTAAACACATCAAGTATGGACAGTCTGTATTCTTGAGAACCATAGAATGAGCACTAGGAAACTGATATTGGCAATCGAGACTCAACATCGAAGAAATAAGGGTAATTAAAAGACATAACATTTGTCCTTTTTGGCACCGATATTTTTACTTCCTGTGCAATTGGGGAAGTGTAGGTAATTGCTAATAATTCAGAAAATGAGATACTGTTCTTTAGATGTTAAATGATATGTACATCACGAAAAACCATGTCACTCATTTCCGTTGGTTTGTCTGTCTGTCCGTTAATCTTTTGGACCGCCTATAATTCGGAAAGTACTGTTCAATTTAGTTCAGTAGCGGCGGGTCTAAGTGCACAAAACACGAAAAAAAAATTATAATGTTGATGAAGGTTTAGAATGCATATGATATGTTACCAAAATATTTATAGATACAATCAACTTGAAATTTGAGTTATTTTCAGGGCCGCAAGTCCCGCTTATAGATCCTGGTCCTTTAGAAATTTATTTGTCATATTTGCGATTGAAAAAATCGCACGTTGTGACTGTTGTTTGACATTTTTTCTTTCGTTCCAGATGTGATAAAGCAGCATATAATGGTCGCCGAATTTGTGAGTCGCGGTCAGAGTGGATCCCCTGTGAATGGTGAAACGCCACATCTGAACTCAAACATGCCGGCATCCCACGGCAGAGAAATGATGTCAAGCGCAAACTCCACTGCCTCTGACGACTACAACCCAAACTACAATATTCAATCTGTGAAACACAAGGAGCTATTCTCTCAGAGAAAACAGAGAGAATTTACTCCAGACAATAAAAAGGATGACAGTTACTGGGATCGAAGGCGTAGGAACAACGAAGCAGCTAAACGGTCCAGAGAAAAGAGGAGATTTAACGATATGGTACTAGAACAGCGTGTTGTGGAGCTTACTAAAGAGAACGCGATCTTGAAAGCTCAATTGGAAGCTATCAAGGAGGAATATGGAATTTGTGGAGAGAACGTCGTATGCGTAGAAAAAGTCCTAGCTAACTTGCCTTCCAGTGACCAAGTGTTGAGTCTGTCAAAGAGGAAACTCAGCCACACTACAGCACCTCTGCTATTTGGTGCGCAGAGTCCGATACCAACCCCAGTGATTCATCAGCCAGTGATGGGCATGGTTTCTCCTCCTCCTCAACATAATCTCTTGCATCCTCCTCCGAGTTCCAGCTGTCACCTAGAACCCACTTATAGAGAGCACCCTCATCCGCACCAACACCCTTTGCCTCACCCACACCCCCATACAGAGTTCCACCATCCGTACCACATCCCGTACCATACAGCAGTGCACTATGAGACCAGCAACGCATTGAACCTATCAAGGTCAAGGTCGAGGGTACAGTCTCCCTTCGAGGTGTCCAGCAATTCGGGTGACGAGAGTGCTGTAGGAGACAGAGGCGGCGGGGCTCCAATACCACTTACTATCAACGAGCCGAACAACAGCCTACCTTTGAAGTTGCGCCACAAATCACATCTTGGCGATAAGGATGCTGCTAGCGCGTTGCTCTCTCTCCAAAATATCAAACAGGTTCGTATAGGATTTTTCATTCGAGTTTTTGATCAGGCTCAAAATTCGTAGCACCTGGACCATACCCAAATTTCAAGCGGTGATTACATTAGTCACCATTGGAAAATCTTCCAGTGTCAAGGGTGTAAATTCATTTTTAAAAACCATAATCCTTGGACCCTTTTCGTTAACATTCCTTGAAATTAAGCAGTGGAAACATATCGCCGAAAATTTAATCAAAATCGACTAAGAAAATCCCTTTACAGATTGTGGTGGACGTCTATCTAGATCACTGGATCCTTATTTTTTTTCCTTTGGAGGTTTGGGTTTCATTGAAGCGCGTTTTATTCTTTCCTAGATATTCTGCACCAGCTAAACTTTAACAAGTTTCAACGAAGCCTTTTAAAGGAGTATTACGATTCCTACTACAAACCACATTTAAAAAAAAGAGAACCCCTGAATCTTGGAAACCAGCCTTTCTTTATATGAATTATACTTCATAGAATCATCCCTTGAAGTTATTTTGATAACGTCCTGTATGTTTAAAAAATGATGGATGTTGAAACGAAATGAAGTATGTGTATTTCGGGCACTACCAAAATTCTTTGCGAGGAATCAGAATTTATCCCCCTAGATAAATAATAATGATGTAGAGCTGTTTGGACTTTCTGGTACATAACTGTCACTATTGTCAGACCCACTAATTAATAAAAAATGATTATTGTTTATTACCATTAAATACATAGTCTAATTTATAACTGACATTATTATCGTTGATTGTATTTAGTTATCCTATTATTTTGCAACTTGAAAGTCGCAGGCTACATGATAAATTGGAAACGAGTGATATGTCTTCGTACGTATAGTCCTTGCACTGAAACAAAGCGGTTAACGTCATATTTAGTAAATTTGAACGCCAACCTTGAAGCAAAATAGATCCTAAATTGGTACGTATAGTTTTAAATTCCCGGGTACATTTATGTTGGTAACAGTTTTCTGTGTTGTGACATTGTCGCAGAGCTTGTCAGGTAATTATGCCAACGGATGTTGCTTATTTCCTAGGATCTAGTAGTTTTAAGTAATGTGGCAACCATGTACATCACTGTCATTATTTGACGTTGTGACGTAACTGCTTTGATTCAGTGAATAGACTGTAGCATTTTCTATCTTTCTCTGACAGTGTTGACGGGCGTTAAAGAAATTCGCAGATATACTAAATTTCAAAGTCTAATCAAACTATGTCACAATTAACAGTGGAAAAAGCCATAACTCGGTGGAGAAGGCCATTATTTTGCTCTCATAAGCTAAACCGCCGTATTTGAATTCTTTCTAATACAGAGGCTTAGTTTTAGCTTTCTTTGGCCAATAATGGCATACACTTCTTCTCCAAGGTATGTAATGTACTATTATTCCATTGTCTTTACTGGAAAACCCGTTATATCAGGCTATGTGTTCTTTTATGTATTGATTCACTAACTCGCTAACGTGACCGATTCAACGCTAATGACCTAGTCTTCTTGACTTAATTTTTTGTCGCTTATTACAGGAGCCAGGACCAAGGGCTAGTCCTCCATGGGACGCCGAAGGGTCCAGTGATGAAAGAGACTCTGGAATCTCTCTAGGAGCGGAGTGGTCAGCTACAGCAGCAGCAGCCACATTGCAGAACTTAAAACACTCCCAGATGCAACCAATGGATGCAGACGGTGAATCAGATCCTGACGGTATGGCAATAAATGACGCCTTAGCGCATGGTGACCCACAGAAACACAGACTGCACAAGGAGGTAGCCAGGCTATCCACCGAAATCGAACAGCTCAAGTCTATGATGAGTCGGAAGGATAAGGATACTCCTCAACACTAAGTGATGTAATGATGTGAATCGCGAATATGATGTGATGGGTGTTCCTAGCTTAGCTAGCCACCGTTTTTGTGATGATTCTCATTATGGAGATTGGACATATCAGTGCTTTTAGTCGGGACTGTCGCTAGCTACTAGTTAATGCTATGATTATGCTGGATTGTCCAAAATTATACAACCAGGAAACAAATTAAAGTACTTGCAACGACAAAACCTAATCCCAAGTATACTCAAATATTTTGGATCACTGGAACTTGAATCTGAGGTCAGACCAACATTTTTGATGACATCAGTCTTTGTTTTGAGTAAGTAGCAAATTTTTTCAGCAGGGTCCGAATCCTAAAAATGTCCAAAATGCAAATTTTAAGATCCAACTGGAATCTCAGGGAGCCTCGAAAACACTGGAAAAGCAACGCGTTTTACTTTTATTTTACCATACTTTTCAAATAAAAGTGAAACACATTACGACATCTCCAGTGTTTTATTGTGAACGCAATAGCTCATTTAGCATAGTTCATTCTTTTAGTTTCTTGACGATGACTTTAGATTGAATATTGATCTCGACCTCAAAGGTCATTCCTAACCTGTCAAATGCGTCATCGTGAGGGAACTAGAAAAACTTAACCATTATGCTTAAATTGTTTTTTATTGCGACTCGTATTTTTGTCTCAGAAGTCAAATGAAGAACTCGGCCTCAAAGAATGACCGAAAGCCATGGTGCAAGTTAAATCCACGATAATTTTGAGATTTTTAATGTTGATTGACATTTTTGATATGGTTTTATCAGATTCTGACCCAGACTCTAAAAAATGATAATCTCTCAAATTTTTGTTTACGGGGCGACAAATACATATCTCAATTAGACTAAAACATCTGCAATAATGTCAGAGAATAAGTAACCTAAATTCAAATACGTTATTGAGATATAAGCATCGATGTTCATTGTGAACCTTTGAGTATATTAATCATGAAGAAAACAGCACGACGGTCATAATTTTCCCTTGCGCATTTGTAATATTACCAGTTGCTGCAGATTAGAAGTGTATTTTAAGAACACTGGTACACTGTTCTCAATGAAGTAATCTTTCCATATTTTGTACAGTTTATTATTTATGGATAGACTTATCATCGAGAAAGTTTTGCGATTATAGCCATACAACCTTGCTAGCGACGGCCCTGTTCTCAATACGTCATATTTATTATCGTATTTTTAGGTATTTATTCGTTAGTTATTAAGTCAAAAATTACTTCAAGTGCACAACTACCGCTTTCATTTGCCAATGTATTCCTATGATTTTTTTTTCACTTCAGTGTTAAATGTTTGTCGTCGTGATAAGCAAACACGGTTTTCCCAATAATTTTTTGTGATCTCCACTCAAAATTAGTTTTTTTTATTTCGATAAGCTATCACGATGCAAATATTTTGACCCGATTTTATTGAGTTAATGCAGTTTTCAGAAAAAAAAATGTTTCTCCAGTGCCTCAGATTACAATGATGTCTGTTTTTATTTTATTATTTTCAATTTCACAAAATAATGTAAGAACCTTGTCAGTGCACATTTGTAATCGGTTAATACCAGACAAAACTTTTTCTGGCTGATTACGATTGTTGCTGACAAAAAACCTACTTTTGTATACTTTTCTGTATTTTTATATATTATTATATCATCAGTCATCACTCATTTCATAGGGATTAACATAAACGTACCTTTTATTCTTAGCTAAAAATTTGTGTGATGTTTTGTAACTATTTATCATATGTATGAAACTATTATTTTTTGTTATATTACCGCTTAAAGGCGGCCAACATACGATATGTTATCTCATTATTGTATATTTATAAATATTATTGTAAGACTTATGCTGGACCTTACCTCAGTACTAAATATTCGTTTTGTTTACTTTGACATGAATCTGTAGACTGTCCAACTTAACACTATTGATATAATAAAGAAAATATTCATATTTTCATTACCAATCGATGTATCCTAAATAAAAAATTATTTAAATAAATATTTGCATTGTTTTTTGAACCGACTTGTTTTTTGTCCCATCCCCAAAACATACAGACGGGTCCCAAAACAGGTTGAGGTTGAGTCTAGGGGTGGCTGGTCGGTGTTTGGGAGGTTTCTATGGCAACGCATCCTCGAAGATTAAGAAACTTAAATTTCCGTAAGGTAGGTTTATTATATTCGAATATTACGTATTGGATTGGCTTTGTTGAAAAACAAAGCGTCCTCCTCCTCGTACACACTGGGACTTACTGAACGGATTTCAGCAGCTCAAGGTAGTCATTCAGAACGGTGGACCTTGTGGTTGCTACCGATATGCAGCGCCATCTATTGGAGAGTAGCCGCCGCCAAAAAAAAAAATCGTTCAGTTGGGCTACCATCCCATAGATGGCGCTTCTTTGTAAAGTGCTATCACAGACCTCACAAAATTTAACTAGTCAAAAAGATCCTTTAGGGACGGTTGGTCGGGGTTCGGGATGGGTCTATGGCAACGAATCTTCAATGATCAAGGATCTTAAATTTTCGTGAGGGGGGTTTAAATCCCCCCATTTTTTGATTGGATTAGTTTATTATATTCTAATATTACGTATTGGATTTAGCTTTGTTGAAAAGCAAAGCGTCCTCCTCCTTGCATGCAATGGGACTTACTGAACGGATTTCACCAGCCCAAGGTAGTCATTCAAAATGGTGGACCTTGTGGTAGTTACCGATATGCAGCGCCATCTATTGGAGAGTAGCCGCCACCAAAAAAATTGGTTCAGTTGAGCTACCATCCCATAGATGGCGCCACTTTGTAAAGTGTTATCACATACCACACAAAATTTAACTAGTCTAAAAGATTGTTTAGGGGAGGTCGGTCGGGGTTTGGGTGGTTCTCTATGTGCAACGCATCTTCAAACATCAAGAAACTTCAATTTCCGTGAGGGGGGTTAAAAATCCCCCATTTTTTGATGAAAACATTGTTTTTTTAGTTTACTATATCTAATATTACGTATTGATCTGGCTTTGTTGAAAAGCAAAGCGTCCTCCTCCTCGCATACACTGGGACTTACTGAACAGATTTCAGCAGCCCAAGGTAGTCATTTAAAATGGTGGTCTTTGTGGTGGCTACCGATACGCAGCGCCATCTATTGGAGAGTAGCCGAATAAAAAATATATTCATCCGTATTCCTCTCTTAAATGATTTTAAGGTAATTCTGAAACGATCGGAGTCATCGGCAGTGACACAAATGGTTCGAATCCCGGTTTCAACGCCGCCGGCTCAGATCGGGGACAATTTTTTTTCTCTACCAATATACACCTTTTTTTAAATTCGACACCAGTATAAATAACTAAAAATGATTACGTATACCAATATTAATCTGATTGACGAAAAAAGTATTTGGTTAATCCAGTCGGCGGCGTGTTGAGCTAATTCTGTGTATAGTTTATAGTGGAAGCCGAGCTAGAGGTAAAACACGAAAAAAAAAATCACTCCAAATTCGGTTTTTGAAGTTTCAGAGGCTGCTGGTCATTTTCAGAAAAATATTAGACAAATTTACACACAATAATAGGGGCTTGCCCTAAAAACTTGATACAGAAATATTTTCAACACATTCGGCTCTAGATGTACGAAATACCATCGCGATCTGACCGATGTGTTTCGTATTGGGTGGAGGCTGCTATGGTGACGAGCGCGAAACTTTTGTCAGATCAGAATTGTATGTCCCCAAAAGTTTTTGAAAAGCAGTGGGTAGCAAATTTTCTCAGGAGGGAGCAGATGTAAGATCCCTAATATTGTACATGAAATCATGCTAAATATGCAAATTTTAAGAGCCAACAAAAAATCCTTATTTTGATCTTTAATGCTTATAGGGCTCGATTTTTGTTGCTAATTCTTGATTAATCCAGAATGCTATAAGTAGCCCAAAAGAATTCGCATACCAGGCATTCTTGCTGCATCAATTGATTCCAAATTCTTTTAAGCTATTTTTGAAATAATGAGCTAAATCCCAGTCACTACGGATGTTCACTTTTTGTGTGTGATTTTGAAAAAATAAGTCAATATTGCACATTTGTTTATAAGTTTATTCGAAATTTGTCAATAATATTTATATTACAAAATATGTTCTATATTTATACATTTATATGGCTTAGAACTTAGAGATAGAAATATTGTTTTGTAAAAGATACAAAAGTATAAAAATATAAAACGTCCTTAATGTTAAATAACAAGTGCGTTCTTATGAACTTATGGTACTGGTAAATCTTGCAATGCAAATATATATATATTGTTTGTCTAGAAAATCGTAAATAATAACTGATATGAGATCATGATCAATCCCTTTATAAAAACGCCAATTCATAGATATACATTTTTATTTCTGTTTATTGTATTAACCGCGGGCTTTTTCAAGTACAATGATATTGATGATCATTGTACTTGAAAAACGCCACCGTGGTAGCCAAAACGTACTACAACAAACAGAAATTAAGGGCAATGCCATGAGAATCCGGGCATAGTATCGCAATATCTCCAGATATTATTGCTCCAAATTAAGGACTGGCTAAAGAAATGATGTAAAAAGGTTATTGAAACAAGTCACAAGTTCACCCAAACTGTCATTGGATAACAAGCTATTACTCTATAATGCTTTGTTGAAACTAATTTGGACATCCAGTTATGAAGCACATCAAGCAACAGCAATATTGCAGCCCTTCAGCGGCTCCACAAGGTCAAGCGAATGATTTCAAGCACCATACTATGTTCCCAATGAAGTGATTTATCATGACATACCTCTCCATACGAGTTCAGTGTTGGATACAGTGAAAAAGTTGAAATACATCCTTTGTCAAGGGGGACAACTTTTTAACCAAAAACTACTTCACCCTCTGCCCCCCAGGGTCATCCCCTTAAAAATTATGAATCACAAGGGGTAACCAGATTACAAGCTATTAAGCTTGTTTGAAAGGTCTTTCGAAATCCTTTATTTTGACGTTTGATTTTTTAAAATCGGTGGATTCGTTTTCAAGAACATTAGAAAAATCTCTATCTTAATTTGTTCAGATAGAAAACAAAAACACATGAAAACATCACTTTTTATTTCAATAAGTGTTCAAAATGTTGCCCGTTAGGGGTTGACAAACCTACAATTCGTTTATAATTTAAAATGGAAACAACCAACATAAACAGCAATTCAGAAGATTAGACGTGGCAACAACCAAATAACATCCCGATTTTCCGCACTCTTTTCATTAACGCAGATATCCTGGGCGAACTGAATTTATTGTTATTCCTGTTTAGTTATTTGTTGCTAAGGGAAAGAAGGAATTTAATTTGCTGTGAGTTACCTTTGTGACAATCTTGGGATAGTGAAAATGAATTTATTGATTCAGCTTTTACTCCCTAAAATGGTTTACACACCAGCCGAAAGAGTGCCTGCCACTGATTCTAATTTATTTTTGGTGCCCAAAATCAATGTGCTCGGCAAACTGCCATCACGTTTAACGCCAGACATCTGGGGAAGATAACTTCGGATAGGTATGTTTTGGACCTTGTTACTAAATTTACCCAGTACCCCTAAAAATTAATATATAGGCTGGCAGTTTGGAAAACAAAGTGATTGGGCGGGATTTATTGTTTATTAATGGAAATTTGGATCGAGACATTTATTTGGATATGTTGGAGAATACCATCAATCCGTTTATCACTGAAACCATTGAAAACCAAATCACTATGTTCTTCCGGTTCGGCAATGGCTAGATGACGAGTTTCCAGATAAATGGATAGGGCAAAGAGGGCCTATAGAATGGCCTGCTAGATCTCCTGATTTGACACCATTAGACTTTTTTCTATGGGGTCATTTAAAATCTATTGCGCTTACTCCCCAACCTGAAAGTTTGGATGAACTTCGTCAACGCATCATCGAAAGCTTACATGATATTCCACAAAATGTTTTTGAAAATGTGAACATCGCCTATATCATTGTTTGGCCAATAATGTGCAACAGTTTGAACACTTACTGAAATAAAAAGTGATATTTTCGCGTGTTTTTGTTTTCTATCTGAACAAATTAAGATAAATGATTTTTATAATTTTCTTGAATACGAATAGACCGATTAAAAAAAATCAAACGTCAAAATAAAGGACTTCGCAAGACCTTTCAATCAAGCTATTACTCGATACCCCTTGTCATTTAAAACTTTTAAGGGGATGTCCCTGGGGGGCCGCGGGTGAAGTGTTTTTCGTTAAAAAGTTGTCCCCCTTGACAAATCTTTTGACGTGTCTGGGCGTTTTTTTCTTTTAATCAGAGGTTTTCGATAAATCCGTGGTGGGAAGCTTTCAAATGAACACCCTGTATAAAAAACATAATACATTTTTCTATTCACTGCTCTAAAGCTGATATCAATATCCAAAAATAACCTTTGGATAGCCAAATATTTGAATAGATCTCCCTTATATCCGTCACAAAAGTGAGCTAGTTCATAACCTTTGTCTAATTATCTCTATACACTGACTGGTCTGAATTCTATACTTTTATGTGGAAACATACTTGGATATGTAGGTTATTTTTCTATTTTACATTTTATAGTGAATTTATTAAATATTCCAATGAATTGGCTGGTATAAAAGAACTGATACAAGAGATAATCTCCGATTCTATCAAAAAGTAAAAAAAAAATTATAGATATCTGTGTGTATATCCAGAATATTTGTATAACAATAGATCCTACGTCTAAAAATCTATTATTAGAAAAATATTTATGTTTAATGCATTTACATGTATATTTATATAAAAAATAAATGCGCGCTACTTAGTTCACTGTTACAATTTGGACGTCAATCTTAAGTACTAGTGCGTTCAATGTAAAGAAGAGACGCAACAATAGATTTTTATTATCATTGATTGCAGTCGCTAAATGGTGCAGGCTTAAATAAAACATATGAAATGAAACCATTTGAACAAAACATACAACTGGTGTGTCAAAACCATTATTTTTGGGTAAACCACCATTTTATCAAACCTTCATCGTAATTGACGATGTGAAGCCTTTTCACCTTATATTCAATCACACGAATGAATATACACAACATAAAAATGCATAAGAATTTATTTCTGCTTTATGGCAAATGTTTACAACAAATCGTGTTTTTCGAAAATCTAGTTTGAGCTCTAAACCAATTATTTAGCAGCATCTTTTCTTGTATATGTCAAGCAGGTTAGACCACTTAAGGCACAACAAATTGAGAATGATCTTATTGTGCATGTTTTATAGTGAACTTATCACGAAGAATATATATATATATATATATATATAACAAAAAGTAGGAAAATAATTGGCAAAATCAGCAGAAAGGAGTAAAGTGGATTCGAGCAGAAAATAGAATACGTGACCCGAGCGATACTTACTTCTGCTGGTTGTCTTCATCAGGCACAAAATGAATGCACGTTTGTAATTACAAAGATATATACACATACCCACACATCCGGATACGGGCGTAACCTTAGGAAATGAAGATGGAGAGGGAAAAAAATCTACACACGAGGTCCACAACCCAACCTAGACAATGTAGTATAAAATGGCTAAAAGACCTCGAATTTCCAAGAAGACATCTAACCACAACCATGCGGCCGGTTATAGCCACTTGCTGTGGTACTTCGAGCCCAAAGGATCTACAAAGAGAAAATGATCATGCGGAGAAAGGTATATAACAAAAAGTGGACTTAGTGTGTTGATTTTTTTCCCTCTCCATCTTCGTATCCTCAGGTTACACCCGTATCCGGATGTGCGGGCATGTGTATCTATCTTTGTAATTACAAACGTGCATTCGTTTCGGGCCTCATGAAGCCAACCAGCAGAAATACGTATCGTTCGGGTTATCTATCCTATTTTCTGCTCCTTTCTGCGGATTTTGCCCATTATTTTCCTACTTTTTGTTATATACTTCAACTACCACGAAGGCCTAAGGCCTAAGCACCCATTGGGTACCGTGGGCCTTTCTCCGCATGATAATTTTCTCTCTCTATGTATATATGTATTTGCACTATTTTACGGAAACTAACTCAGATTTATTGTAGACTTGACATATTTAATAAAAATCACTTAAGCACATACAGTATATATAGGATGTCCAAAGAAAATGGTAAGTAGTTTGATAGAAAAACTGTGAAAGATGATCGAAAATGATTTGCGCAAGCAAGACTGACACCTTATAAGTGTGTATTTTTTAATTATGAGGAGATATACAGGATGTTGCACAATTCCGAGGTACATGTTTGTTTTTCAATGGAACACATATTTTCTTATGTATAATCAGATAAACGTTCTAGTAAAGCAGTATGAAATCTGGTATCACAAGAACCTTATAAAAATGTGGATCTGATGGTATAAAAATATACGGGATTTTCTATTTACAACTTTTGAGAATCCTGGCAAAGTTGATGTACTTTTCGATCCTCTTTCCAAAATGCACTGAAAAACTACGCAAACTGGCAGATCAAAATCCTATCTCAATCTGGAAAGGTCTTTCCAAATACACAATTACAAAAAACGTGTTTATGACGGTATATTTATAAATAATTTAGATACACTCCTATAAGATGCCGATCTTATTGCACTAACCATTTTTCTTCCATTCATTTGCACCCATTGGGTTTTTTTTTTCTTTAAAATTGGCTGGTGATCAAATCCCATATGTTTCGTACCTGCTATTTTGATGACTGCAGAAACTTTGTTAATATTACTAAATACTGGATAGATGTGCCATTAACAATCAATATTATTTAACTTCATGGCATATTGTAGATATTTAATAAATAAGAGAGCAATTTTCTGTTTCACATATCAAAATATAGAAATTATAATTTGCAAGAAATAAGATGCAAATATGTATACAAGTGCCGGGAAGACATTTTGTTAGGCTTTTGTTTGTAAAATGTGTGCGAATAAGCTAGTGGTTAGGTATAAATTCATGATAGAAAACATGATAGCAATGTTCTATCAAAAAAACTTAAAGATAGTATCTTACCATTTAAATCACATATTCGATATTTTCATATGAGATGTCTGCAATCCTATAAAGGGATTGCATAAAAAGAAATAATAATGTTGAACTTAAAAATGTCTCTCATGTTTAAAACGTGATACCAAGTATCAATGCATCATACAAATAACTTAAAGATAGTATCTTACCATTTTTTTAAGAGCGTGTGTGCTGACATAAAAAATCACATTCGATATTTTCATATGAGAAGACCACAATCTTTCAAATTATTTTTTATAATGATATCAGTAACAGCATCAAAAACAAATTTGATGTTATTTGTATCAGTGGCGCATGTGAAATGTGTGTATATTTCTTTCTGATCTTTTCTTTTGTTCAAGTTTTCAAACTTCATCCTGACATACTCAGCAGCTTCTTCATATGTATTTGGACCCGTGTATTCAGGAAAACAGATTGTTAGTGGACTTCGACTGATTTTTTCTTCGAATAAATCCTTTTTATTCAAAAATAGGATTATAGAAGTTGTTACAAACCATTTGCTGTTGCAAATTGAATCAAAAAGCTTCATTGATTCAACCATCCGGTTCATTTCCTCGTCCTCAGCAAGCACTAAGTCATAACCTGTGGTGATATTTAAAGCATTATACATTGGAATATGATTGGAATATGATAGATAATATAGTTAGTTTGAATGTGTCAAATAGGTTTGACTTCAGAGCTGTCACAAATACCAAATTACTTGGAATTCACAAGAAGAACAAATACTTAGTATTTTTCCTTCAAAACGTATTTCAAGCATCAAATACTTCGATCGAGCACTTGCTCTTTTCCAAATAAAGTAACTCAAATACGTTGCCAGTAAGTACTCATACAAGTGCTTCAATTACTAGGAATATACAGGGTGATTCACACGTCGTGACCAAAAATAAAACATCATACACAGGACCGCATTTTAAGGCGGATCTTCTATGTAACATTTTTTCCTCTAGGGCTTCATCAAAAAGTTGTTGAAGTTTAAAAATAAAGAGTATTTTTAATATCTTCAAAACCGTCAACCGGAATGAACTAAAATTTGGTATGTGGGTTTACTTAAGTATTGTCCATATTCAAAAGTCTTTACTAAAAGTTAAGGTGCACCAGTGGCGAAAATACAAAGAATTATTGGCAATATTTTTCCAAATAAAAATGGTACGGCACTGTTTTTTTTTTCGTAAAGCGCAATATTTCGAATATTACCTTCAATTTGAAATAATAACTTTGGTGTTTTTTCCTAGAGTGCACTGAATTTCGTAAAAATAAAAATGAAACAAATTAGATCATTTATGAAGAGCCAAGATACAGCTAGTTTCAAAATAAAACAGGAAACCTTGATACCAACTTGACGTTTCTTGGGAGATAGTCAACGTTATTTTTTTTATTTCTACGAAAACAATGCACTCTAGGCAAACACACAAGAGTAATTATTTATTTATTTAAAGCATTCAAGGTAAAATTCGAAAAATCGCGAATTTAAAACAAAAACAGTGGCGTACTATTTTATTTGGTAAAATAATGCCACTAATCCCCCTGTATCTGTGCCACTGGTGCACGTTAATTTTGAGTAAAGACTTTTTAATGTGGACAATACTTAGGTAAATACACATACCAAATTTTAGTTCATTTCAGTTGACAGTTTTGAAGATATTATTAAAAAAAATGTTTTTTATTTTTGAAACTTCAATCTTTTTATTTATGCCCTCGAGGAAAAAATGTTACATAGTAGACTACCCTTTAAATTCGGTCCTGTGTATGTTTCATTTTTGGTCACGACTTGTGAATCACTCTGTATATCAAATACTTTGCTAGCATCTGAAGTACCTAGAGAATTAAAAAACTTGACAAATGATTGAAGCAGTAATAAAAAATATCTCATCAAGCCTTTTTATTTAACAACCATAATATAGAGGTGACTTTGGAAATTATAAATCTCCATTTTGCGGCAGCTGACATATTGGATTTTGAATGACGTCACGTTACTTATTGTGTTTCCCTGAAGAAGCCCTTTTATTTGAAGCCAATATCATAGGGTTTACTAAATGAGAAAGGATAAATGGATATTTCATGTGATACTCTATATTGGACTCAAAATGCATAGCTATATACAGAGTGTCCAATAAGTACCACGACAAACTTCAGGAGAAGGTAGCCTTTGGACTGAGCTCCCAAATAACAAAAACTTACCTATATAAAAGTGACACCGGTTTTGAGATATTGAATTTTTTCTTAAATTTAAAAAAACGAACCTTTTCATCTGTGGTCTTTAGCTGCATGTACAAATAAGGTTATACATACTTTGTTCATTTTTTTCTATAAAATAGATAGTTGCTTTATCATATACAAATGCAATGTAGTTAAAAGATATTAAGAAACCATGATAAAATAAGGACTGTTTTGGGATTTATAACCTCAACTTTGACCATCTGTGGTGAAACAAAAATGTACTTGGCTATAACTGTATTTATTGAATAAAAGAGTGCTCATTGACTACAGATTTCAGAACGGCGCCACACGTACTATTTGGAATAGAAAAAAAGTGATATTTGTAAGTGTCTGACACACACTACAATGTAATTATTGGATTTAAATTAAGTTACCGACCAATGACATGCTAAATAGTACACAGATATTAACTGCCAATTTGAGCATATTTTGTCAATAAATGAATAATTTTTTTCCACAAACAATTTGTGCTTTATTTCACGCTAACCCGTCCCTACAAAAATAATTCTTTTGTATTGTTACTGGCTCGAGTCCGAATTTCAGTAAGTTTCATAAAATCGTATCAGGAGCAGGTAATAATAATGTACGAGGGTGGTCCCAGAAGTACTGACCTAGAGATGGCGATAGTTGTTTGAAAAATATCATTGTACTAGAAAGTATGCAACCTATAAAGCATATGTGTCAAGTTTGAAGACGCCACGTTGTTTAGTATTTGTTTGGCAGCTATCAATACTGAACGTTTTCAGTGAATTTGTGAAAATGGAGAAAATTGGTCATCGTTATGTAGTACAATACTTTTATTTCAAAGGCCCCCGCCCAACCAATATAAAATCTGAACTGGATTCTACTCTGGGTGAGTCTGCTCTTTCGTTTACAACAGTAAAATATTGGGTAGCAGAGTTTAAACGAGGCCGTATGAGCTGCCAAGAAGAGCATCGCAGTGGTCGACCAAATGAGGTGACGACTCCAGAAATGGTGAAGAAAATTCACAAAGCGGTACTGAATGATCGTCGACTGTAAGTGCGCGAGCCAGCAGACCTGGAGGCATTTCAAAAAGTGCGGTTCATCGCATATTATCTGAAAATTTGGATATGAAAAAGCTGTGTGCAAGATGGATGCCGCGATTGCTCACAATCGAGCAAAAAGTGTCGTGAAGATGTTTCAATTCAGTGTTTAGCGAAGTTTCACAGCAACAAAGCAGAATTTTTGCGTCGTTTCATAACCACAAATGAAACATGGGCCCATCACTCCACACCCGAGATAAAAGAACAATCAAATCAATGGACTCAAAAGGGACAACCGGCTCCAAAGAAGGCGAAGACCGTTTCATCTGCAGGCAAGGTTATGGCGTCGGTTTTTTGGGATGCGCGTGGGATAATTTTCATTGGCTATCTTGAAAAAGGTGAAACTATCAACAGCGAGTATTATGCGAACTTGTTGCAACGTTTGAGCGATGAAATAAACCAAAAACGGCAGCATTTGGTTAAGAACAAAGTGTTGTTTCATCAAGACAATGTACCAGCTCACAAATCCGTTATTGCAATGGCCAAAATTAACGAATTAAAGTTTGAATTGCTACCTCATGCACCCTATTCACCAGATTTAGCCCCCTCGGATTATTTTCTCTTTCCAAACTTGAAAAAATGGCTCAGTGGTCAAAGATTTTCCAACTATGAAGAAGTGATGTCGGCAGTTAATGGCTATTTTGAGAAGCAAGACAGTTCTTATTATAAAAAGGTTTTCGAACTTATTGAACTTCGCTGGAAAAGTGTATAGAGCTCAAAGGACATTATGTTGAAAAATAAATACATTTTTTTACAAAAAAATTGTGTTTTCTTCGTTGGGTCGGTACTTTTGGGACCACCCTCGTAGCTTTGTACTATTTAGCATGTCACTGATCGGTAACCAGTGCAACTTGAAATTAAATCCAATAATGACATTGTAGTGTGTGTCAGTCACTTACAAATGCAGCTATCACTTTTTTCTATTCCAAATAGTTCGTGTGGTGCCTTTATGAAATCTGTATTCAATGAGCAATCTTTTTATTCAATATAATGCAGTTATAGCCCGGTACGATTTTGTTTCACCACAGATGGTCAAAGTTGAGGAAACAGTATCAGAAGGTTATAAATCCCAAAACAGACCTTATTTTATCATGGTTCCTTAATATCTTTTAACTACATTGCACTTGTATATGATAAAGCAACTATCTAGAAATATTTTATTGAAAAAATGAACACAGTATAACCTTATTTTTACATGCAGCTAAAGACCACAGATGAAAAGGTTAGTTTTTTTAAATTTAAGAAAAGATTCAATATCTCAAAAACGGTGATACTTTTATATAGGTAAGTTTTTGTTATTTGGGGGTCAGTCCAAAGCCTACCTTCTTCTTAAGCTTGTCGTGGTACTTATTGGACACCCTGTATATATAGCTTATCTTTGATTATAGTATGTTACATCAATATTTCTTTTCTTAGACGGGTTTTAGAGAACAAAATATGGTACATTCCATTTGAAAAAATCTGTCAAAATCTCCGCTCAATTTTTATTAAAACTAATGCCCCATATTGCATATTCAAACAGTGAGCAAAAGTGAGATGGAGCGGAAAAACTGAGAAAGTGGGTCGCCAGCATCACTGGGAATATGGTGTCAATTTGAGACTGGGGCTGACAAATGATCTTGGGCGACTAAGTTTCTGCCCAAAATTTGACCAAACGACACCTTAAAATCCGTTGATCATCATATTTGGATGCAGCGTCCTAAATTATCTAACTGTACCGATTTTCATCGGCTTGTTGCTATGGAAAAACCTATACGTGAATTTTGCAAGGCAAGTTGTCATAAACAATTTCTAGTACCTGTGATGTGGGTAAAAACTCATTTTACGGGTAAATTTGGTGTGTAGATTCCAAATCCGATGTCAGATTGATTTGAGGACTGACCCGAGGATCTCAGACGACAAAACTATCAATCAATTTTTCGATGAGTTATCTTTTTTGTTCCAATTATTAGATAAATAGTAATGAATATTTTACCTGATAGTGCAACACAGAAAATGATTGCTGTGACACCTTCAAAACAGTGTATCCATTTTTTCCTTTCTGATCTTTGCCCGCCAACATCAAACATCCTGCAAAGAAATAATTCAATAATCCATTATTAAATTCATTACGATCTGCTCTGACATCAACTTACTTGAAATGTAAGTTTTTGAAGGAAAAGTTTGTTTCAACTATCCCAGTTGTTTTCACCCGTGTCCTAAGTACATCTTGTTGTGAAGGCACATAATTAGGCTTCGAAATCCTGTCTAAGGCATTCAGGTAGTATGCTGCAGAATCATTCAATTGATATTCTCTGGAACGTGAAAAACATAGCTGCACACCTGGGTCTGCCCAGAGTTTTTTCATTAACATCACTAATTCTGGAGTTAACTCTCCCTCTTCAGCGGCACTCGCATAGGTGAAAAACTGCCTGGCAATGTCCTAAAATATTCATTTTTATATTAACTCAATATTAGTGAAGAAGTCTCTTCAGTAGAGACTGACCTATACAGAACAGATAATCGGCCCACACCAATATATCAAAGACCGATATATCGGCGTAATCGGGCTATTCTTTCGTACTTACAGTAATGGACAATAGTATATAGACAAATATAAATATCTACCTAAATACCTTTAGAAAACGAATTCATACTTTATTGCTCCATAAACAAATGCGTTATTAGTAGAAAAACTAAATTCCTTTTTTTTACATTATCTGCAATAATGAACACAATACACGTCTGAGTCTAATTTTTTATTGAAGGGAGTCTAATGAATTTATTTATGTATAAGTGAGTATTATGCTATAACGAATTATGTATACAGGTTGGTGTATTAATAAAACAAGTTAAAAAAGAAATACAGCACAATATTAATTTGTCTATATACTATTGTCCATTAGTGTAGGTTAACGACAGTGAAGTATAAAAATAAAGATCAAAATTGTGGATTTTTTTAACAAAATAAACAGTATTATTACAAGAGAAGAAAAGGGAATGAATATTACAAAGGTACCATAAATGAGAGTCATTGAAATGTGATTTCGGATCATAATTGTTGTTGAGGCATAAATGACGTTCCGTCCTTCATTGTTGTAAATCAAAACACACTAACATGGGATTTACTGCTTCTATACTTTACAAAAACAAATTCACTGCATTTTATTCCTAGTTTTCATAATCCAACTATGTTATTTTTTCCAAAGAAAATCGCAGTGATGCAGAATTTTATTTTCATATAATTTTTGGGTATTCTCCATCAGCGTAAACATGGGATACTTGTGCAGCGCGCGAGATGAGCTTTACTACGCCATATTAAATATAAAAAGCGAAATTTGTAAATTTTTGACATGGAATAGTTCTGCTCTAAGGTGCAAATATATATATAAACTAACATATATGTTAAGTTAAATGAATAATATTTTTTCTTTCAGAACAAAATTTATTTATAACGATAAATACAAATAACAGAATTATTATATAAGAAATATACAACATAATAAAAGAGTAAAAAGGCAGTACTTGTCTAATACAGAGAATCAAAGCAGTTTAGTTGAAGACTACTGCTTTTTTGTTTTGATAAATTTGTTTACTGATTTTACGCTTAGGAAATGTAGTTAATATGAAATAGCTGACAAAGTGAAAAACTAACTATTTTTGTTAAATAACATGATCAATGATATATTTTGTAATTGTAATCATGAAAGAAAGGATTTTGTCGCAAAATTCAAAAAAGGCAGTAAATGAACTTTACTATGTTTTACTCAAGTATGGCAGTATTGGCCATTTGTCTTTTTCTGTACATAATTGTGAAGTTTAGTTGAAGACTACTGCTTTTTTGCTTTGATAAATTTGTTTACTGCTTTTAAGCTTAGGAAATGTAGTCAACATGAAATAGTTGATCAAGATTTACGTTGTTATATTAGAGGGGTAATTTGATGTCCCTTTAAATGAAAAAATATTATTGTGTCATACTTACTGCACGACTGGGGTCAGCAAAGTCTATACGAAGTTGCCCCATGGCACGTATGATTGCCATTAAGCTCTGTATTGTGTTGCTGTATACCACTGGACGGTATTGTTCACATTCTTCTGGAGAATATCCAGTTTCATGAATAATTTTCATCTGTTTGACAATTGTGCTTTTCCCTGATTCTCCAGCACCTGACAAAAACAAAATAACACTTCATCATACTTTATACACAGGCAAAGAACATTTTTATCTATAGCTATAAAAAACTCACTATAATGGCTGAGTCATTAATAATGAAGGATACCAGCCATATTATGAACCATGACGCATCAGTTCTCTCTCTCCCAGAAGAAATACTTCCATCGAGAGTTAGTGCGCAGGACCCTCAAACACACAGGGCCCATAGCATTGGCTACTCTTGTTAATCCACTACTGATCTTAATGCTAAATTCATGTAAATTTAACCAAAAGTTTATGGGGAAGAACCATAAGAAGTGATTTACCTGCATCTTATTGGTCCTACTTTATAGTACAAGTCACACCTTACTGAGGTTTCAAGTTAAAATAATTTGCATGAACACAGCATTCGAAGAAATGTACTAAAGTTGTACAGAGTTTGAAGTTTCAAATATGCTTCCTATAAAGTTACATGTAATCTGGAGAAATGGAACAATAATATTCATGTTGTCTTTTTCTAGCAGGAATATTTCACAGTTATGGGTATAGTTTCCTATATATTAACTAATAAGTATAAGCATATATTATGGTAATAACAAAACTATGTTCATAACAACTCACCACTTTGATAACAAACTTTCCCTGCCTGGAGAATGCCATATAAGGCAATAGGCAAATATGTGAGTATGGTCTTATTAATATAAACTATGTAGTTTTCTCGTCTTATTACGAAGAAGTCGAGAGAACTTTTGCTTGAATACTCACCGAGAAGCAGAAGTTTGACTTCACTGGCAGCTCTTTCTCCATCAGCCCTAAGAGCTCTGTCTATCTTTTTAGATCTTGCTAAAGCTGCTTTATCTCCAGATGTACTGACCGCACAACCCATATTATGTTTTTATACTTTTAAAAGACACTTGTTGCTAATCTAGATATGGATTGACTCCACCCGCTTCCAAAAAAAACAATCGTTCGTTGTAGATCGTTGGTTAGTCACCTCAAAACCCATAAATGAAAATATTCAGATCGAACTGCCATCTATACATTTGAAACGTTAACCCTAGCAACTGTCAATTTAGTTTTCTACAGCAACATAGTGGATGGGTGTTAGGTGCGTACACTAATGATTGCATGGTTGATCGAAAAACTAATTAACAGAGTGTCACGCGGGCTCCTCAACTCGATATACTACACTTTACTTCTTTTCATTTAATACAGGCATTTATACCTCGCTTTGTGTTTATCTCTGGAAAAAGTGTTAACACCTATCTAAATCTACCCTAAATAGTAAGTAAAACAACCTTCACTCGCTAGATGGCGCAGTATATACTGAAACGAGTTTGAGAAATACCTCTCCGCGTTTCTGTTTTCCTGTTGCTAGAATCTAAGCAGCGGAGTGGCTTTGGCAGATTATTTCAAAAAGGCGCGCACATTCACCATTCAAAAATTAGGCATATCAATCAATCTCAAATCATTGCATAAAATGGAGTAAATAAAAATTAGACAAATAATCTATAGTTGAAAAATACGTATGGTGCAGTGATTAAAAGCATTACAGGTTTATCAAACTTTTTTGCTTAATCGTAGCATCTACTCAGTCTTTCTTTCGATCTCTTTATCAGTTTTATATTTGCGTTTGGTGAAAATGGGTCAAATAACATCTATATAGATCCTATAAGCATTATGAAGATGGTGAACTTTGAGCCACAATATCGATAATCGGCATCAAAAGCCTATTCCATTAATTTGAGAACAAAATTCACTCATATAGAAAGATACACCGATCCTTTACGAAAAATAGTTTTATGTTGTGTTGAAAAAATTTTCATTTCCTAATTGGAAAACTTAAAGAGGCAGTTTTTAAGTAGAATCAATCAATGTGGATTTGTAAGGTGTACCGACTGATTGATACCTTATATTTTTGCAAAAAAAAAATGTTTTGGACATGTAAATGTGACCATTGATCTAATAGATCTAATATTAATTGAAACAGTGGAAAAAACCCAAAGCCACAAAAAAGGTGATGTGAAATCCTATATAATGCGTGTAGGGTGTCAATTAAATACTTAAGCACCCTGCAAACTGGCAACCATGCATTTATTCGGAAAAAGTTTTAGGAGATTAAAAATGGATTTATTGACCTTAGAGGTTGTTTGGCGGTCAACCTCATAAATTGAAATATCAGCCACCATTTTTGACAGCAGATTCAAAATTTATCACGAGATTTTGCATAGGAATCAATTTTCATACATGAGGTCAGGTGGTCATAAGTGGAAAAATTAGTAGATGAATTTGCTATCAAAGATCGTAGTTGGTACTTCAATTTACGAAGTTGAGGCTATTATCTAGGTCGTATTTGGGATCACCATGCAGTAAATTCCATTTTTGATCTACTGAAACTTTTGTACAAACTTTTTTTAGAAAAATGTGTTGTTGCCAAGTTTACAGTGTCCGTATAGTTTTCAGACGTTACACCTTGACATGCTGGTATGACCACTTCTGTCCGTCTGACCTCCCGCATTAAAACCGATTCCTATAAAGATTTTCATGCTGATTACAAATTTGCTGTCAAAAGTGGTGATTGCTATTTTGGAGCTGAGATCCGATTCATTATGATGATAGGTCGTTAAATAGGCCACAAATCTCCCGGAAGTTTTGCAGGGACTTTTCTTTCGAAACAATGCACGGTTGCCAATATTTTGGGATATTGGGGTATTAAATAGACATCCTGTAGTGTCCCACCCGCCATTGAAATACTCTAGTTGGTTTACTCGTCAGCAGTTTTCATGCGCTGCAGTACCAGTTACCTACATTAGAAGACTTCCCACCACGGATTCTTCGAAAACCACTAATTAAAAGACAAAACACCAAGACACGTCAAAAGATTTGTCAAGGGGGATAACTTTTCAACCAACAACCACTTCACCCCCTTTCGTCCTCTGCCCCCCAGGGTCAGCCCCTTGAACAATTTTAAATGACAAGGGGTATCGAGTAATAGCTTGTTTAAATGGTATTTCGAAGTCCTTTATTTTGACGGTTGATTTTTTAAAATCGGTCGATTCGTTTTCAAGAAAATTAGAAAAATGTGATTGAAATAAAAAATGATATTATCGTGTGTGTGTTAGAATTTTTAAGGGAATGACCCTGGGGGCAGAGCGTGAAAGTGGTGAAGCAGTGGCGGATTTAGAGGGGGACGCCCCCCTAGACGTCCGACACCTGCTTTTGTAATCTAAAACCATTGTGTTACTTTCTGACACATCATGGCGACAGGAGCATACTAACTATAAGTTATAGCTATCGGAACTGAGCATTGCGATTTTTTGGTATCCTCTGGTATTCCAAATGCTGACCCTCTTTGACATCACTTGTTTACAGCACAACTCTTGCGATTTATACGTATATACGAGTATTGTGACTTGTGACAAATCTAAGTCTGGGTACCTAATATATTAGCTATACAGATTGCACTTAAAAGGTGATGTTCTGTTTATTGCTCAATAGTAATTTGAAAAGTATGTAAAGCTTGACAGATTTTGTTCGGGTTTGGTGTTGCCGCGAAGCACTATGTTAGATGAACGCCTAAATTGAAAATAGACATTTATGAGATTTGTTTAGCGGCGAGCCTGTGGCCTGTCCAGAAACTGTGTCGATTGATACTCAAAGTCAATACCGCATCTCTTCTCGCGTATGTCATTCGTTTAAATCATTGAGCTGCTGCACTACACGTGAATATGTACAGCCCTATATTCCTGTACTTGTTTCGTACAAACAAAATAATTACGATCTAACAGATAGTTTTTTACAATGATTTCCAATATTTTTACATGCGATCAATACCGGTACGAAAAGTGAGAAAACAACAACTATGCCGTAAATCTAAGTTCGACAGCGAAGGTCTGAAAAAACCCCAACCCCCTACTGAGCGGGGCCGTGGCAAATGCTTGTTCCGGAAGTTGTTGTATCCAGTATACAACTTCTTCCCGTTCAAGAGATTGTACACGCGTTAAGGAATACTTCAGTACCGATTGCCGGGTGGCGATACAAGTCCGCCAACAGGCCACTTTAGGTCTATTTAATATCATTAACATGCAAAAAAGGTGGTAGACAAGGATCAGTCGACCGTGGCGGTACTACCCGTCAGCTTTTCTTAGGGTGTCTTGTAAATGTCCGCATGTTTCCACACTTAAGCTATGCAGCGGTTATCTTCCAAAACAAAGAAATTAATGATGGTGGATCCCTCGAGTACTAAGAATTCCAGATGTAAACTCACTCCATTCTCGGAATGAACGGGTGGAGGGTGGACTCGAGGGAACATCGAAGATAAAATTTGTTTCGCGAACATCTGCGGGACTAACAGCAAAATTGATGCTGTACATCACTACTTGCAATCCAATCGTCCCGCTTCAAATTACGAGGTGCACCCCAATCTGAGAAAGAACGGGGGAGTTGTGGTCTTTGTCCGCAGCAGTCTTTCCTGCTCCAGAGATGTTTCTTTGGAATCAGACTGGAAGGACATTCTGTGGCTTCGCCTCAACTCTAAAACACCCCCCAAATTTATTTGCCACCTTTATCGCTCTCCCTGGGACCATAAGTGGGATGACCTTCTTGAATACCCCGCCGTCAAGATCGACTTCCTGAACATCGATCACCCTGCTTCAGAGGCAGTTCTCGTTGGTGATTTCAATGACCATAATTCGCTTTGGTTGGGCTCAAACAAGACCGATGCCGCAGTTGAAGCGTTCGCTCTTACTCAAGGGCTGACCCAGCTGGTGACGGGCCCCACTTTTTCCCCCGGGTCTCGTCACATGCCAGTAACCTGCTAGATCTCTTTCTGACCACGCATCCTGTCCCTTACAGCACTGCTGTGGAGGTTAGGTTTCAGTCAGAACCCGCTGTGGCAGCAGAAACTAGCACAGGCCGCAGAATTTGGCATTACGGACATGCCGACTGGGAGGGGCTCAGAGAATTCTTTTTTACCTTTCCTTGGAGTTATGTCTGTTTCACTGACGCGGATGCGTCTGCTGTCTGTTCTTCGATAACCACAGTTTCGCTGACGATAGCAGACATGCAGGAATTCAGAGTGACAGCCGATCTCTGCCGCTGAGCAGGAAAATAGAAGACTAGCGACGACTTCCTCTCTGACGAGAGACCTGGAGGTTATTACTGCTTGGGAACACAACAATGTTGTACAGTTCAAAGCTTCCAAAACACAGTACTGTACCTTGACGAACAAAACGCATCCTAAAGCTTATCCGGACCACCAAGAACCTGGTCTGACACGAACTCATCTCGTCAAGAGCGGCAGCTGCTGAGAAAAAGTTAGGCTATTTGTTCAGGGCTCAGAAGAACTTTTCTCCGCATGACCTTCTCACTCTATACAAGGTCCAGATAAGGCCTAGCCTCGAGTATTGCTCACACATTTGGGGTGCTGCTACCCCGACTAGATTATTTATGCTCGATGCTGACCAGAGGAGGGCTGTCCGACTGATCGATGACTCTTCTCTAACAGACAGTCTCGGGACCCTTTCGCACAGGCGGGCCGTCGGCGATCTAGCTCTCTTGTACCGCTACACCAACGCGCTTTGCTACTCAGAACTCTCTTCCACGATGCCGCCACGCGATGTGCCTGCCAGACAGACCCGCCTGACCTTGACCTCCCATCCTAACCGTGTCGTGTTCGTTTTCGCGATCAAAAACATTGGAGTCCCTCAGAATGTTTTATTTTTTTTTGTTACCAGCAATAAAGTTTTTTATGTTTGAATCTTTAATATTATTACTCTAGTTAATTATACATGCCACGTACTTATTTTGTTCTCATATAATAAAATATTGCCTTTTTGAGGATTTCTGAGCATTTTCCATGTTTTTTCCAAGCTGGTCTTGACAAGATAGAACACAATGGATTTAAGGAGCAATGATAGGATAAATTCTAAAGTTCCACTGAGGTTAAAAAATGACTAGCCCCAAATATCGTTTGCGACCCCCCCCCCCTAGACGAAATCCTG